TCTGGGTATTTTTTATCCAAAAGAATTGAAATCAAGATCTTGACGTGATATTAGCACTCCTGTGTTCACTGCAGCACTATTCACAATAGCCAAGATGTGGAAACTACCTAAGTGTCCTTCAAAGGATGGATAAAGCAAATATGGTATATATATATATATATGCACCGAGGAACATTATTCAGCCATAAAAAGGAAATCCTGTCATTCTCGACAACAGGGATAAGTGTTGAAGATATGAGGCTAAGTGAAATAAGCCAGTCACAGAAAGATACATATTGCATGATTCCACTTATATGAAGTATCTAAAGTAGCCAAATTCATCGAATCGGAATGGAATAGTGGTTTCCAGGGGGAGGCTGAAGGCGAAAAGAGAAGTTACTAAATGGACAGGCATAAAGTTTCAGCTAAGCAGGATGAGTCAGTTCTGGAGATGTGCTTCGTAACACTGAGCCTGCATACAGTCAACACCACCGTATTATGCACATAAAACGGCTAAGGGGGTAAATCTCATATTAAGTGTTCTTACCACAACTTTTTAATGACTTATTACTAAAAAAAAGTAGAGGAAAACTGTCGACATGACATTCAGGCATAGCAATAACAGAGAAAACGGCCAAGGGAACAAAACCCAACTTACCATTTGACACTCAAAACAGCACGAGTGCATCGGTTTTGACATAAGGAAGAGAAGTGGTATCCTTCAATCTTTGAAATTTTTAAAACACTGTAGTGGTCACATTTAATAAAAAACTGTAAAGGTTTGCTGATTTTTTTAGATCTGTGTTGGCTGTTTCGTCGTTATCATGTCGCTGTTACCTTATTTTTGCCTAAACTACAGTGTGGATGTAACTCAAGAGAGATTTGGCAGATTCAGAGCGTCTGACTACAGGGAGTTCTGCTAAGTCACCTGATGGGGCTACGGGGACACTGCTGAGTCACTGTCATAGCCACCTACGGGCAATTTCACCTTCTAAGGTTATTTTCTAAAAATACGCAATGGTGACACTGGGGCGGTTTGGCATTTGATATATATACTGTGATAACAACATCTGAGGGTAAGTCCCCAAACTGGGCCACAGTCATTTCTGGTTAAATAAATCCCGGCTTTCTCTGATGAGCAGGCTCTGGGATCCTGAGTAAATCACTTGGGGAAATCACTTACCCTTTCTGGGTCATGGCTTTTTCATGTGAGAAATTAAGATTCCAGACTTGATGGCTAAAGACCTTCCTGTCCCAACATTACAGGGGCTTATGATTAGGAGCAGGCTTTCCATATGCACAGGGATGTTAGCAGGAATTCAAATGCCAAATGAGAGCATTACATCTTGACAAAGCAAAGTAACACTTTACTTTCTCACTACTCAGTGTTGATAAAACCTTGTCAAATTTTCTTCTTAGGATCTGGCACACAGCAAGTAACTGTTAATAGTGTAAATTACTTCTAAGAAGAGAAAATTGCTATATAACAAGATTAACATGAATTACTGATCATCAGAAGATGGCACTATGAAGTCAAAAATAATCTGGGTTTAAATCCCAACTCTACCAATCACTAACCATACCACCTTGGTCATGCTATTTAAGATATCTGAGCCTCTCCCCCCTTCCTCTCTCTCTCTCTTTCTCTCTCTCCCCTTCCCTCCCTCCCTCCCTTCCTCTTCCCTTCCCTCTCTCCCTCTCAAATCAATAAAAACATATCCTCTGATGAAGATTAAAAAGTAATTACGTAATTAAATGCCTGAGCCTCTGTCTCTTGATTTAATATGGAGATAGTACTGACCTCACAGGGTTGTCAGAAGAACTAAGTAAAAATAACAGATAAATCAACACACAAGTGCTGGCGAGGGTGTGGAGAAAGGGGAGCCCTAGTGCACTGCTGTGGGCATGCAGACGGGTGCAGCCACTGGGGGAAACAGTCTGGAGCTTCCTCAAAAAATTAAAAATGAAACTGCCTTTTGACCCAGTGATCCCACTTCTAGGAATATATCCTAAGAAACCAGAAACACTAATCAGAAAGAACTTATGCACCCCTATGTTCATAGCAGGGCAATTCACAATAGCTAAGATCTGGAAACAGCCCAAGTGCCCATCAGTAGCTGAGTGGATAAAAAGCTGTGGGACATTCACACCATGGAATACTACGCAGCTGTAAAGAAGAAGGATCTCTTACCCTGTGAGACAGCATGGAGGGACCTGGAGAGTATCATAATAAGAGAAATAAGCCAGGCAGAAAAAGACATGATCTCATTTATATGTGGAATCTAATGAACAAAATAAAATGGCGAACAAAATAGGATCAAAGACATGGAACAGACTGACAGATCTCAATGGAGACAGGCTGGGGGGCCTGAAAGAGATTAACCAAAGAATGTATGTGCATATATGCACAACCCATGGACACAGACAATAGTGTGGAGAAGGCCTGGGGTGGGGTGGGCGCTGGGTGGAGGGGAGCAAAGGTAGGGAAATGGGGGACATCTTGAATAGTGTCAACAATTTTTTTATAAAGACTTTTCTTCACAAAAGACAGGAACCTCAGAACTCTGGATAGAGTGGAGATAGGATGAAAATACATAAAAATAAATTTGTGAAATTAATTTTTAAAAAGATAATGTGCCTGATTAAACAAATATTAATTCCTTCTCCCCTAGCCAGTTCCTGGAGATTAAAATCTCCTAGGTATCCCTGACAGTCACCCCATTTCTGGTTTCATCCTGGATTTCCACTCGTGAAACACCCTTGCTTGCCCTGTGTTACTGACAAAGGCTTTCTCCGTCAGCAAGCTTTAGTCAGGCTCCTCTGAGCCCTCCACTCCACTAGGCCTCGACCTTGGCCTATAAGAACTGCAACTTCCAGCACAATGGGTTCCATCTACCTCCCTCGCAAAGAGACTTAAGCAAACACTAGATAGTTTCTATCAGCTCAAGGCCACATTCCTAGAAAGATGGCCCAGTTCCCTAAAATGCATGCCTGAGAAAGCTCAATGCTGGCAAAAGAATTTACTGTTTCTTTCAGCCAAACCCTGACTACAGGCCACTGGCCTTACTTTTTCTTAGAGAAAGCTTGCAATTATAAATCCTTTCTCTGCCCCTTTAAGATGTAACTCTTCTACAAACCAGAAATGTCTCCTCAAGGGCCTAGGAATTACCTCTTTGAAATGCAAATATACAGGGAGACAGCTCTCCCATCTCCCAGTTCACAGCAGAGGCTCAATGTTGCTAAAATGGTAATTCTTCCCAAACAGAACTATAGATTCAACACAATCACTATCAAAATCCCAGGAGGAGTTTTTTCATTTTGGTTTGGTTTGGTTTGGTGGTATGTGTTTTTTGGCACAAATTGGCAAAATTATCTTAAAATTTATATGGGGATGTGTAGAATTTAGAATGACCAAAGCGATTTTGTAAAACAAAAGCAAAAATGGAAGATTTACACTATTTGATTTCAAGATTTAATGTAAGGCTGAAGCATGATATAAGGTAAGGATGAATGGATAGATGGATAGCTAGATGATATACAGATAGATGATGATAGATGATAGATAGATGACAGATAGATAGATGATAGATAGATAGTAGATAGATAGATAGATAGATAGATAGATAGATAGATAGATAGATAGATAGATAGATAGATTGTAGGCAGTGGGAATGGCACTGGGTGTTAGTCTGGTGTGGTCAGGCTGGACCTGGGTTCAGCAACCCCAGTACTTGGGTTCTGACTAGGAAAGAATTCAGAGCCAGGACCCAAACTCTAAGGGAACATGTATTTATAAAATCACAGAGATGGAAGAAGCAATTCCTAGAGAAATGGGCTTGGGAAAGAAGTTATAGAGGCAAAGGAAGGGCCCTTGGAGCTTGGGAGTGAGGAAGCTGAGGGTAACGTTAACACTAACCAGCCTGGGGGTCGGGGGTAGAAGGGAAGGCTCGGGTGTGCTCCCAGGAGGGAGAACACTGGGTCCTCCATCCTAACAGTTTTAAGTGTGGAGATCTTAGGGGAGGCTTAGGGAAAGATCTCATTATAATATTCAGCAGCTTTCCAGGTGTGTCCTTTCAGGGCTGTGGTCTCCAGTGATGGATTGGTTGGCACAGGGGAAGGGGAGGGGGGGGAATCATTCAATGCAGCTGGTTCTAAGGTCAGCTGTGGCTGGTTTTATTGCTTTTCTGGGCCTGGAGTTGAAATACAACTGAGGCCTAGATGTTATCTCTAGGGAGGAAAGGTCAGGGGTGCAAACCACATGACCAGCTATATGCTAGGAGAGGAAAGGCCACCCTGTGGGTGAGGTTCCATCCTACAACTGTCCTTTGCTAGGCATCCAGGGCTTTCTATCCTGGTGACCTTCTATACCTGGCCACCGTTCTTGCTCTGCTCATGTCTGTCTAACTGCCTATCACAGACAGACAGACAGGAAGATCAAACAGATTTGAAAGTCCAGAAATAAAGCTTTACATTTATTGTCATTTGATTCTTGACATAGATGCTAATTCAGTGAGGATATCATAGTTTTTTCAGTAAATGGTGCTGGTAAGTGACTAGAAACCCATATGCAAATAAATAAACAGAAAGGTAAATAAACAAATAGACCTTTACATCAAACCATATGCAAATATTAATTCAAAATTGATCACAGACCTAAATGTAATAGTGAAAAGTATAAGCCTTCTAGAAGAAAATCACTATTTTCATGAAAATATAAGAAACCTCAGATTAGACAAGTTCTTAGGAACAACAACAAAAGCATGCCATAGAAGACAATGTTAACAGGTTGGACTTCATCAAAATTAAAATCTTCCGTACTTCAAAAGAAGACACTATTAAAAAATGAAAACACTAGTCACAGATTTGGGGAAAATATTTGTATATCATACATCTGATAAGGAGTCTGTATCTAGAATATATAAAATACTCTTACAAATCAATAGGAAGACAACCCAATTTAAGAATGGGCAAGAGAACCAATCAGACATTTCACCAAGCAAAACATACAAGTGGCCAATAAGCATATTAAAAGGTGTTCAACTTTATTAAACATGAGGAAAATGCAAATTAATAACAAATTAACCTCTACACACCCACTAGAATGGCTGTAATCAGTAACTGTTGACTAAGGTACGAAGAAACTGAAACCTCCATACATTGCTGTTGGGAATGTAAAATGTTACAGCCACTGTAGAAAGTAGTTTGGTAGTTTCTTAAAACATTAAACACACATCCACCACATGACCCAGAAGTTCTACACCACTTCTACATAACAAAAATGAAAATGTATGTGTGCATTAAGACTTACAGGAACCGTCACGGCAGCATTATTCCTACTAGCCAATAACTGGAAACAACTCAATTTCCATTAACTGGTTAATAAACAGACTACACCAGATCCATATAACATAAAAGTTTCAGCAATAAAATCCTTTTGCACAAAATACCAATGCCTGCTACAATAGTGACAAGCCTTGTAAACTTCAAAAAACATTATGCTGGGCCTGGCTGGGTAGTTCAGTTGGTTGGAGCGTTGTCCCGATGCGCCAAGGGTGAGGGTCCAATCTCCAGGTGGGGCACATATAAGAAGCATAAATAAATGGAACAAGTCAGTATTTCTTTCTCTCTCTCTCTAAAAAAGCAATTAATAAAAAATTAAAAAAAAATTTTTTAAACATTATGCTGGATGAAAGGAGCCAGATAATAAGACTATATGTTGTACAGTTCAATTTATATTAAATGAGTAAAAAGGCAAATTTATGGAATCAGTGGTTGTCTGGGGTTAGGGATGGGGGCAGAGATTCCAAATAGGTTCAAGAGAATTTTGGGGGTGGATAAATGTTCTAAAACTGGACTGTAGTAATGGTTACGGAACTCTATAAATTTAACTAACATCATTGAATTGTATACTTACTATGGGTGAGTCTTATGTCAGTTGTACCTCAATGAAGCTGTAACAAAATAAAAACTCAATAGGTGCTTTTAAAAGCAGATTAAACACTAAGAAGAGAGTATTAGGCACCGAAGAATGATCATTAAAAAATTTCCAAACTAAAGCAAAAAAGAAAAATACAATGGACAGCGCAGTTTACAATAGCCAAGATCTGGAAACAGCTCAAGTGCCCATCAGTAGGTGAGTGCATAAAAAAGCTGTGGGACATTTATACCATGGAATACTATGCAGCTATAAAAAAAAAAGAAGGATCTCTTACCCTTTGGGACAGCATGGAGGGACCTGGAGAAAATTATGCTAAGCGAAATAAGCCAGGCAGAGAACAACGAGTATCACATGATCTTACTCATATGTGGTATCTAATAAACAAAATAAACTGATGAATAAAACAGATCCAGAGACACAGAAGCATGGAACAGACTGAGGAATCTTAGAGGGAAGGGGGGTGCAGGAAGAAATTAACCAAAGAACTTATACGCTTACATGCATAACCCAAGGACACACACAATAATGTGGTGAAGGCCTGGGGCTGGGGGTGGGAGTGGAGTGAAGGGGGTCAATGGTGGGGTGGGGAAGGGGACATGTGTAATACTTTCAACAATAAAGATAATTTTTTTTAAAAAAGACAATGGAAAATATAGAAAATAGTCAAATAGGACATAGTGAAAAAGTCTAACAAACATATAAAATTGTACTTTCAGGAGAAGAGACTAAACCAGAAGTAAAATCTGAAGCAATAATTGCCAAGAATATTTTAAAACTGATTCAAGAATCTCTATGATCCTCAAGCAGGATAAGTTGTAAGAAAAATATACCTAGGCACATAATAACAGAACTCCTCAATATCAAAGAAAAAGAAAAAAATGCTAAAGCAGAGAAAAACAGCACATCATCTTCAAAGGACCAACAATGAGAATAACAGCTATTTTTTAAATAAAAATAAATTACACAGAGGATGATGAAATTACATCTTTAAAGCACTGAAAGACACTGACAACTTAGAATTCTACAAAATACACTTCAAGAATTAAGGAAAAAAAACAGCCCTGGCCAGTATGGCTCAGTGGTTAGAGTGTCGGCCTGTGCACCAAAGGGTCTCGGGTTCAATCCCTAGCCAAGGGCACATGCCTGGGTTGCAGGTCTGATCCCCAGCCCCAGTTGGGGTGTGTGCAGGAGGCAACCAATTGATGTGTCTCTCTCACATCAATGTTTCTCTCTCACTCCCCCTCCCTCACTCCCACTCTATCTAAAAGAAATGGAAAAATATCTTCGGGTGAGGGTTAACAAAAACAAAAACAAACCAAAAAAGCAATTAAAGAAAAATAAAGAAAATTTCAAACAAATAAAAATACAGCCCAGCCAGTGTGGCTAAGTGGTTGAATATCAACCTATAATCCAGGAGATCATGGTTCAATTCCCGGTCAGGGCACATGCCCGAGTTTCCAGCTCAGTCCCCAGTGGGGGGCGTGCAGGAGGCAGCCGATCAATGATCAATGACTCTCTCTCATCACTGATGTTTCTACCTCTCTCTCCCTCTCCCTTCCTCTCTCTGAAAGCAATTTTTTTTAAAAACACATTTTTTTAAAAAATACAAAGAAATACTAAAGGGAGTTCTTCTAGCACAAGAAAAATAACCCCAGAAGCAAATACAGACTTACATGAAGGAATGAAGAGAAATGGTAAATACAGATAAATACTAACTGCATAAAATAGCAATAATAATATATCATGTGGTCTATTTATATGTGAAATTAAAATAAATGACAGCAACAGTACAAAAGGAAGCCAGGGCTTTTACAGAGTTAAAGTATTCTCAGAATCATGCAGTGAGGGAAGTGGCTGAAGTACTCATTTAGAGTAAATTCATAAGTGAAGGATGGATGTTGTAGGAAAATGGTTAAAAGAATAGCAGGAGATATAATTAACAAGCCAACAGACAAGAAAATTGAGTGTTAAGTACTTTATTCATCAAAAAGAAAAAGGCAAGAAAAGGAGAAGTTGGAACAAAAAACAGATGGGCTAATTAGAAATAAATAGTAAACTGATAAACTTATACCCAAGTATGTTGTCAATTACTTTAACTGTATATGGACTATGAGATGCTCCAAAGATTGTCAGGTGATATAAAGAAGCAAAACTCAACTATATGCTGCTAATAAAAGAAAACTCAAAAATAAAAGTCCTAAACATTAGAGTACAGAAAAAGATACACCATGCAAACACAAACTAAAAGAAAGCTGGTATTACTAATATCAGCTGATATTAGTATTGGTAATACCAATATCAAGTCAAGAACCACTACTAGATTTGAAGAGAGGCATTTAATTATAACAAAAAGGAATAATACAAGAAGATACAATTATAAATTTGTATATATCTAATAACATTTCCTCAAAGCATACTTGAAAGAAACTGATAGAATTAAAAAGAGATATAAAAATTTGTTATCACAGTGAGAGATTGAGTTTACCTTTCTCAGTAACTGACAAAGTAAGTAGACAAAAATAATCGATAGATAGGAAATCTGATTGATACAACCAATAAATTTTATCCAATCTATATGTATGGAACACTGCACCAATAACTACAGAATATACTGCAGACTCTTATCAAGTGTACATGTATCATTTACCCAAAGTGACCATAGTCAGGCCATAAAACAAGTCTCAAAAATATCAAAAGACTAAAATCTTAACATGTTATTTGATAATAATAGGATTAAGCTAGAGATCAATTTTAAAAATCATTAGAATATCCCAAATAATTGGAAATTAAGCATTATGTGTTTATATAACCTAATAGGTCAATGAAAACAGTACAAGGGCCATTTTAAAATACTTTGAGCAGAAAAATTAAGCTATGACACCAAAACTTGTAGGATGCTATTAAAACCATGGCTTAATAGGAAATGCAAAACTTTGTTTGTATATATTAGAAAAACAGAATGAAAATCAATAATGTAAGTAACGTTCTCGCAAAGTTAGAAAAAGAACAGCTAATTGAAGCCAAAAATATTAGGAAAGGGGAAAAAACAAGAACAGAAATTAATGAATTAGAAAATACGCATACAATAGCAAAAAACCCCAACAAAGTCAAAATAGTCTCATTGAAAGAACAAACTTAATAAACGATACACAAGACCAATAAAAATAAAAATAAAAAACACAAATTGTCAACGTCAGGAATGAAAAAGGGGACACTATTCAGATCCCACAGACTTTAAAAAGGAGAGGACTGTATTATCAACTTTCGCTTGTAAATTTGAAAATTTATATTAAGTAGCCAAATTCCTTGAAAAACACAATCTAATAAAACTGACACAAGAAGAAATGAAAAATCTGGGTAGGTCTATACTTAATATAATTGTATTCATAACTAAAAACTTTCCTACAAAGAAAATCCAGCATCAGGTGGCTTCACTGATCGCTTCTCGGCCTTTTGGCTAAGATCAGGCGTGGTTACCAGATGGCTTCAATAATAAATTTTTTATCAAACATTTAAGAAAGAACTAATACCAATCTCTTCCAGAGAGTTGGACCAAAAGGGAACACTTCTCAAGTGATTTTATACAGCCTGCATATCCTTGATACCTAAACAAGACAAGTTCATTACACCCACATGCACAAAAGAAAATTATAAGCTACTCTCTTCTCCCTTAAACATAGACACAAAATTCTTAAACAAAATATTAGCAAACTGAACCCAACAAAACACAAAAATCACAGCACATCTCTTGCGTTTACGATAGGGATATAAAATTGTTTTAACATTTTTGAAAATGTGTTTACCACATTGATAAAATAAAGGAGAAACAAATCATATGATAATTCCAATCGATGCAGAAAAGCATTTGCTAAAACTTGATGCATGGTCATGATTTAAATGATTATCAAATTATAAATAAGAGAATTTTCTTAATCTGAAAAAAAGCTTCAACTACACTCCTAAGTAAATGCCATACTTTAAAAATTGAACGCTTTCTCCCTGAAATTGGGAATGAGAATGAGACAAACACATTATCATCACTAGTATTCAAGATTATAACCGAGGTCCTAGCTAGTGCAATAAGGCAGTAAAAAAAAAAAAAAAAGTATAAGAACTGGACAAGAAAATATTAAACTATTTATCATAGAAAATGATTATGAACATAGAAGATCCAAATGATTCTACAGGTAAGCTATTAAGACTAAGAAGTAAATGTACCAAAACCCTTGCAAACAAGGTCAATATACCAAAATTCATTGCATTTATACATATAAAGCAACAAAACATTAGAAGGTGAAACTTTAAAAGATGTAATCTGCAGTAACAACAAAAAGAATCAACCTAATAAGAGATGTGCAAGGAGGATACAGAGAGAACTTGAAAACATTACTTAGAGAAATTAAAGAGAGCCTAATAAGAGAGCTATACTGTGTTCATTGATTAGAAGACCCAATATTATAAAACAGTCAACTCTCTCAAATTGATCTATAGATTCAACTCAGTTCCAACCAAAATCTCAGCCAGTCTTTTTGTGTGTGTTTGGAAATCAATAGAGTGATTCTAGAATTTATAAGTAAATGCTAAACACCTAGAAAAGGCAAGAAAAAAAAAAATCAAGAAGAAAAACAAAATCGAAAGGCTTATAGTATACCTCATGTCAGTACAAAATAATTTAAGGCATTTTATTAGACAAACAACCCAATAGGAAAAGAATATACAGTCCAGCAATAGACTTGATTACTTGAATAATGAAGAAGGTGCCATTTCAACCAGAGGAGAAAAGATCATCTTTACAATAAATAATGCTGGGTGAACAGGATATTTACATAGATAAAAATCACCTTCACCCCCTACCTCACACCATACACAAAACTCAGTTCCAAGAGGGTTATAGATCTAAATGTAAAGCTAAAATATTAAGACTTCTTGTTAGCACAGGAGAACACCTTCATGACACTGAGGCAAGCAAAAATTTCTTAAACAAGACAAAAAGCACTAACCTAAAGGAGAGATTTATAAATTGAAATTCATTCAAATTAAAATTTTCTGTTCATCGAAGAAATATTACAAGATTAAAAAGCCGGCCACAGTGCAAGAGGAGACGTTTGCAATACATTTATCTAACAAAGGACACGTATCTGGAAAATAGAAAGAACTCCATAAAAATC